CAGATCTTCACAGCGCACACACACAGGCGCACCTCATTTCATGGCATGTGGCTTGCAGATATTGCGTTTTTACAAACTGAACGTTTATGGCACCCCTGCGTGGAGCAAGTCTACTGGCACTATTTTTCTGACAGCATGCACTCACTTTGTGACTCTGTGTCACATTTTGGTAATTCTTGCAATATTTCAAACTTTTCCATTATTGCTATGATGATAATAATAATTACGGTGATCTGTGATCGGTGATCTTTGACGTTACTATTGTAATTGTTTTGGGTGCCACAAACCCCGCTCATCCAAGTCGGTGAACTTCATTGATAAACGTCGTGTGTTCTGACATCTCCACCAACCAGCTGTTCCCCTGTCTCTCTCCCTCTCCTTGGGCCTCTCTCTTCCTTGGGACACAGCAAAATTGAAATGAGGCCACTTAAGAACCCTACACTGGCCTCTAAGTGTTCAAATGAAAGGAAGAGTCACATGTCTCTCACTTTAAACCAAAAGCTAGAAATGAGTAAGCTTAGTGAGAAAGGCATGCTGAAAGCTGACATAGGCCAAAAGCTCAGCCTCTCACACCAAGTAGTTAGCCAAGTTGTGAATGCAAAGGAAAAGTTCTTGAAGGAAACAAAAAGTGTTACAACAGTGAACACACGATGGTAAGAAAACGAAACAGCCTCGTTGCTGATATGGAGAAAGTTTTGGTCTGGATAGAAGATCCAACCAGTCACAACATTCCCTCAAGACAAAGTCTAACCCAGAGCTGGGTCCTAACTCTACAATTCTGTGAAGACAGAGGGAGATGAAGAAGCTGCAGAAGAAAAGTTTGAAGCTAGCAGAGGTTGCTTCATGAGGTTTAAGGAAAGAACCCATCTCCATAACGCACATAACATAAAGTGCTGATGTAGACGTTGCAGCAAGTTATCCAGAAAATCTAGCTAAGATCACTGATGACGACGGCTACACTCAACAACACACTTTTAGCGTAGATGAAACAGCTTTCTTTCTATTGGAAGATGCCTTCTAGGACTTTCCTAGTTAGAGAAGAAAAGTCAATGCCTGGCTTCAAAGCCTCAAAAGACCGGCTGACTCTCTTGTGAGGGTCTAAAGCAGCTGGTGACTTTAAGTAGAAGCCAGTACTCATTTACTGTTCCAAAAATGCTAGGACCCTTAAGAATGATGCTAAATCTACTCTGCCTGTGCTCTATAAATGGGACATCAAAGCCTGGATGATAGCACATCTGTTTACAGCTATGTTTACTGAATATTTTAAGCTCACTGTTGAGACCTACTGCTCAGAAGATTCCTTTCAGAATTTTACTGCTGATTGACAATGCACCTGGTTATCCAAGAGCTCTGATGGAAATATACAACAGATCACTGTTGTTTTCATGCCTGCTAATTCAACATCATTATGCAGCCTATGGATCAAGGAGTAATTTCGATTTTCGAGTGTTATTATTTAAGAAATACATTTTATAAGGCTGTAGCTGCCATAGATAGCGATTCCTCTAATGGATCTGGGCAAAATAAGTTAAAAACTATCTGAAAAGGATTCAGCATTCTAGGTGCCATTAAGGACATTTGTGCTTTGTTGGAGGAGATCAAAATATCCACATTAGTAGGAATTTGGAACAAGTTGATTCTAGCCTTCATGGATGACTTTGAGGGTTTCAAGACCTCAGTGGAGGATGTAACTGCAGATGTGGTGGAAACAGCAGGAGAACTTGAATTAGAAGTGGAGCCTGAAGATGGGACCGACTTGCTGCAGTCTCATGATAAAACATGAACAGATGGGCAGTTGCTTTTTACGGATGAGCAAAGAAAGTGTTTTCTTGAGATCGATTCTACTCTTGGTGAAGATGCCGTGAACACTGTTGAAATGACAACAAAGGACTTAGAATATTACATCCACTTAGTTGATAAAGCAGCCAGAAGGTCCGAGAGGACTGACTCCAATTTTGAAATGAGTTCTACTGTGGGTAAAATGGTATCAAACAGCATCATGTGCTACGGAGGACTCTTTCATGAAAGGAAGAGATGCAGCAAACTTCACCGATGTCTTGTTTTAAGAAATTGCCACAGCCACTCCCACCTTCAGCAAATAGCACCCTGAGCTCTCAGCACCACCAATGTCAAGGTAAGAACCCTCCACCAGCAAAAGGATTACGACTTGCTGAAGGCTCAGATGACCCTTAACATTTTTAGCAATAAAGTATTTTTAAATTAAAATACGTACATTGTCTTTTTAGATGTAATGCAATTGCACGCTTAGACTACAGAATAGTGTATACATAACTTTATATGTACTGGGGAACAAAAACATTTGTGGAATTGCTGTATTGCGATATTTGCTTTATTATGGTGGTCTGGAACTGAACCCACAGTATCTCCAAGGTATGCCTGTAATTGACCAAAGATTAGCATCTCTCCAGAATATGCATTTTAAGATGCCTAAATGTTAATAAGTAAAAGTCAAACAATCCAGGGCCGGCCCGGTGGCGCACTGCTACAGTGCGCCGCTTGGGAGCGCGGCAGCGCTCCTGCTGAGGGTTCGGATCCCACATACAGACCGGTTCCCGCTCACTGGCTGAGCGAGGTGCGGGTGCAGCGCCATGGGTTGCGATCCCGTTGCTGGTCCCGGTCCGGTCCGGGCGCAACACTGAGGGTTGCGATCTGTTGCCGGTCATGAAAAAAGACAAAAAGGAAAAAAAAAAAAAAAGTCAAACAATCCAAAGAAAAAATGGGCAAAGGATCTGAACAGACAAATAGCAGGCAAGGAAACCTGCACAGCTAATACACATATGAAAAGATTCTTGGCCTCACTGCAAACTAAGACCTAATGGAGATGACACCCTTAACATTCTGGCTAATTAGCCAGGATGAAAAACCAGATAATACGAAGTGTTGGTAGAGTTGGGGAAAAGGGGAAACTCTCAGATTGCTGGTGGAAGTATAAATGGAAACAGGCTTAGAGAACAATTGGGAATAGCATTAATTATGGGACTTCCAACACTTCCTCAAGTCCACCAAATGTGATAGGATTTATGGCACAGTTATATCACAGAAAAACTGCAAAAACCCTAAATGTCTACCATCAGCGTAATGAACACACGGTGAACTATTACACGATGGATTGATATACAATAGTTAAAACAACTGAACCAGAGCTACATTTACATACGTGACTGTCTCAAGAATGTAGTATCTTAACAATTAAATATTTAAATTAAAAAGTTTAAAAGTTAATATTAAATATATTAAAGATTGTTAAATATGTACCTAATGATACCATTTCTGCAAAGTTAAAAGATGCCAAAATGCAAAACAAAACCATGGGTAGGAAGGAAATGACTTGACTTGAAGACAGTGGACCGTGACAACAGGATTTAGGTGTCATATGAACAGGACTGCAGAACTCTAAGGTTTTATTTCTAAAAATAAATCTGAAATAAATATGGAAAAAATATTAATATTAGTTGACTGGTTACATGGGGGAGATATAGCTGTTTACATACCACTTTCAGCATGTTTGAGTTACAGTTGTCTCATGGTATCTGCGGGGATTGGTTCCAGAACCTCCTGCAGACACCAACATCCACAGATGCTGAGTCCCTTACATGAAATGGTGCAGAATTTGCATAAACCCTGTGCACGACCTCCTGTACACTTTAAATCAGCTCCAGGTAACTTACGATACCCAATTCAATGCCTATACATCCCTTCCTTCATGCAGATCCAACGTACCACTCGGCGTACAGTAAATTCAAATTTTGCTTTTTGCAATGTTGTGGAATTTTTCTTTCAAATATTCTGGATCCGTGGATGGTTGAGTCCATGGATGTGGAATTCCAGGATACAGAGAGGTGACTGACTGTCTTTTTAAGATCCTCTCATTTCTCCACCTCTCCACTAGAGTTCCGGGTTCCCCAGTCTCTCAGCTCCTCGGGGACCTCAAGGTAGATCCTCGTGTATCTTTTTCTCCAGGGCTCTGCACGCACCGTCCACCTACTTAATTATAGGGAATGTGGCCTCCGTCCCCAGCACCCCCTGGCCAGGCCTTCAACAAAGACCTCTTTAAGCTTAACACATCAAAACATTTATCCAATCTCATCTTTGGAAACCCCACCCTAAAACTACCCTTTGGAAGATAAACACGCCCATCCCTGCCAAATTTAACTAGCTCTTCACCCTTTTTCTTGCCCCTCAGCTGCTTAGGAGCTTTCACCCTGGGGGACCACTTTCATCTTCTTTAACTGCTCCCTGCTTGGCTTTCACGGCTGTGATGCCACCGATCCGCAGTCATTAGCCAGATCCCAGCTGCAGCCCAGGACTCCCTAGAGCACGTTTGGACCCTCAGCCCTCCCTTAGGGCAACATGCCTTCCTGTGCTCTTCTACCAACAGCCCAGGGGAAAGCAAGCTCCTGCCACCCAAGACACATCATTCTTGGATTCCTCTCAGGGTAAAGAGACAGTTCCACAGAACTCACATTATTTCTGGAACCAGGAGCCAGGGCTATGGGTCTGAACTGCACGCACCTGTCTGCATCCCCTCTGTTGTCCGGCACCTGCTCTGTGCAGTCTCACCAGGCTCATGTCCCCTCCAGAGGCATTTCTGAGATTCCCTTTGCACCTGTGATTGATGCAGGGGACAGGGCAAGGCCAACCTGTCCACTTCCCCCACCGCGTGTCCAGCGCGATGGCCACAGAAGGAAAGGAGAGCCAGCTTCCAAATGCGGGCTCTCATGGGTCCCCTCGGTTTCCCCCAGGACAGACACTTGCTAAGGGAACCACCCACATCTGGGTACCTTGCAGCGTTTCTGCACGACGGAGGCCAGTCAGCCATCAGACCTCAGAAGTGAGTGCAGAGAGGCCTGGGACAGGCAAGCCTCGCCCCTGACACCTGGGCACATGCCACCCTCCCCAGCCCGCAGCAGGTGACACCCAGGAGTGCCACTGAGATGCAAGGAGAGGGCTGATGTTTATAAACAGATGGAACTCCAACATCCCACCGGGACTCATCTATTTATTGATATGAATATTAAGCCGCTTCCCAGCAGCAACTGCCATTAACAAGAACAGGATTCGGTTTCCAAAAGTAATAAAACAACAGTGACGTCCTAGACAGAGCCCTGGGAACCTTCCTTGCAGGGAACTGGCTTTTCTCCTCTGGACAGGTACTGGGTGCTGCTCCCAAGCACGGACCCCTAGTCCTTAGGGGATTCTAGACGTGAGCAGGTGTCCTTCTGCACGTTCCCCCTGACCCAGGTCATCTGGACAAACGTGCACTGGGGCACGTGGGGTGCCACGAAGGGGGAGCCCGTCTGGGGACCGCACAGCTAGCACCAAAAAGCTGGTTCTGCTTCCTCTCCACGAAGTAAACATCATACATTTTTTTTTTTTTTAAGGAAAGAAGAGTCTTGAAAATATATGGCACTAGAGTGTAAAACTACACGACCCCGTCCGGTTAAGACCCCCTGCAGGTGCCCACCGTGTAGAGCTGGTCCTCAGATGTAGAGCTGGTGGGCGGCCAGGCTGTCCATGAAGGGGCGCACCAGGTTGTCCGTGGAGAAGTAAAAGACGAGGCCGAAGGTGATGGAGATGGGGAGGGCGGGCAGCGCCTTCTTGAACACGGCGAGCAGCAGGAGGGTCAGACATAGGCCCTGTGGGACACGAGGGGAGGGGACGGTGGGGACCGAGCGGTGCAGGTGGGGGCGCGGTCCGTGGTGGTCTAGCCCCTGGGCTCAGAAGCGTGCTCGAGGCTGGTAGACACCCTGGTACCTTCCCTGATCCTGCGACAGCTCCATGAGGTGCTGGGGTGAGCCCCAGGTGGGCCCCTGACTCCTAGGTGGGGCTGTCCCACCTGCCCGCTGCCCGCCCTGTCTGCTGCAGCCATCACGCAGGGTGCCAGCACCCTCCCCCTGGAGAACACGGATTTATCCCAGAACTAGATGGCATGGCTGAAATGCCAGGGAGGCTCTCAGTGGCCGACACCGAGGCACCAAAGATGCCAGGGGACACGTCCCCACGGGAGCAGGTGTGGGGACTGTCCATCCTGTCCCCACCCTGCCCGATGCAGGCAGGGGTCCAGGGTGGGGGCAGTCGGGGAGTGCCCCCCGGCCACTCACAATGAGGATAGCGACGAAGCAGGCCAGCGTGGTGTTCCAGTCCCCGCTGCCGGTGGCGGCCGCCTTGCCCACCAGCACGCTGTAGAAGATGAAGTCGCCCAGGCCCAGCTTCACGCCCCCTGTGTGGGGAAGAGAAAGGGACCCTGTGGGTCTCAGAAGCCCCCAGAGGATGCAGGTGGAGACAGGGAAGGAAGGACGACACCAGCCAAGATGCTCTGCCCCTGCCCCGCCACCTGCCTGGACTCGAGGAGCAGCCACACAGCCTAGAGACAAGGACAGCGGCGGCCCCCGAAAAGCAGCCACCCGTGAGAAAGGGGGGAACCCATGGATGGGGCAACCTAGGACCTGGGCGAGAAAAGCGGGCAGTTCTGATGCTGGTTGACCAGAACAGACAGGTGACAATGTGCTGCCCAGGTTTGGGGGCTGCCATACAACATCATGTCAAGTCTGAATGACAGGTCTCTCTTAGGACAGCTTTCAAGAACATGGATAATACCGAGACACAGTTCCTCTGGGGACCCTTTCCCCTCAAGAACAGGTAAACGTGACCGGTGATCGATGAGCTTACCCGTGACTGACAAGTAAATCGGGGCTCCTAAAACGCTTTCAAGCCTCTTTAGTACATGGCCCCTGACACGTGTTTACGGGACGACTTTGTTCTCTGTAGATAATAAAGATGTTTATGCTGCCTCCGCGCCTGCCGTCCCCCCCAGGCCCTCTCTGTCAGTGCCACCTCTTCTCTGGCTCCAGCTGTGCCCCAGGTGTCTTAAACAGGTGCTTCTCCCTGTCCTGGTCCCCCTTCTGTCCCCTGGCCCTGCTGTCCCGCTCTCTCTTGCTCTCTCCCCTCCCTTATTGCTATTTTCAATCAGCACCCTGGAAAGAACCCTGAGCTCACCTCGCAGTCACTCCACAACCCTAGAGGCACCAGGTCCCACAACCAATGCTCTCTGCCCCCCAGGGGACGCCTGCAGCCCTGATGCTACCTGCCTGTCTCGGCAGCCCTCTGCCGCTGGCCCCTCCTCAGGGTCCTCTGACTGTGTCCTTCCTTTTACACGTCTCCACCCCTGCTGCTCCCTGGCCACTCTTCTTGGGGCCCACAGTGTGACAATGTGTGTGTGCTGATGGTTCCAGCGCCGACTCTCAGCCCCTGACCTCCTCCCCCTCTCGGGTGTCTGCTGGCGTGTCCATCTGCATGTCCTGCGGGCCCCCCCACCCCACACATGTGACCTCTCCGCCAGTCCCCAGGCCATCCCGCGTGTGCCATGGCCCCCTGCCACTCAGCCGTCACCCCTCCCGGTCTCCTGCAGCCTGCGTCAGGAATGCAGCTCTGTTCATCTGATTTTTCTGTTTACAAATCACTAATGGTTCCCCATGTCGTCCAGAATAAGATCAAGCCCTTCCACGGGTACAGCACACCCTAAGCTCTAATGCAGGCACTTCCGACTGCTCCCTGCCGGTCCCACAGCCTTTGCCCTGCCACACCCAACAGGCTGAGCTCCCTGAACCCTTGTAACTGCTGTTGAAGAATTTGACTGGCCTTTGTCCCTGGTTCCTGGGACAAAGAAGACTAAATCTTTGGAATTTCCCAAGTAACAGGAGTCTCTCTTATTCACGACCCCTTTAGGTCACACCTGAGTTTATGCTGAAAGGTGAGATGACTCAGGATAGGGGCTGGTCACCAGAAAGACCAATCACATGATCAGAGGGTTGGCGCTCTGGGCCTGCTGGCCTCTGGGGAGGGGACGGTGGCTACAGGTGGGGTCTGAGATGAAGTTCACTCACACGGGCAAAGATTCGATTAGTCATGCCTACATAAAGAAACGCCAATAAAAATGCTGGACACCAAAGCTCAGGGAACACACTCATGTGCCAGGAGGGGGTGTCTGTTCTATCAGGAAAGGACACAGAAGCTCCGTGTTCAGGATCCTCCCAGACTTGACCTGTGTGTCCCTTCATTTGGCTGATCCTGAGTTGTAAGCACAGCGTTTTCTTGAGTTCTATGAGTCATTATAGCAAATTATTAAACCAGAGGGATTCATGGGAACCTCCAAATTTGTAACCAACTGGCCAGAAGAGAAGGTAGCCTGACGTCCCACAGAACTGGCGGGTGGTGTCTGAAGGGAGGTGAGTCTGTGGACCGTGCCCTTTAACCTGTAGGGTCTGCACTAGCTCCTGCAGCCAGTGCCAGACCTGAGCTGAGCACCGTAGTGGGCATCAGGGCGAACCTTCCCTGTGCTCCTGCACCAGGCTGGGGGGTGGCCTGCTCACCCTTCAAGACCCACCAAGGTAGATCGGCTTCCCCAAACTCGCCCCTCCTGCGCCGTTAGAGAACTTTATCCCTAACCCCTCACCACCTGGCTGCGTCCCCAGGCACTTCCATGGGCAGATGCTGTCACTGTACTGCACTGTCTCCCTGCCCCAGGACTCTTAATCCCTTGGGGAAGCAACCATGTCTCAGAAGGTCTCCAGGCCTGTCTTCGAGACTCTTCCACATGGGCCCTTCTTATCTCCCCAGCCACACTGGTCTCTACTGTCTCCCTGCCCCAGGACTCTTAATCCCTTGGGGAAGCAACCATGTCTCAGAAGGTCTCCGGGCCTGTCTTCGAGACTCTTCCACATGGGCCCTTCTTATCTCCCCAGCCACACTGGTCTCTGCCTGGGGAAGCCCCCACCCCAACTCTGCCCCCTGCTCCCCAGCCCACTGTCAGCCCACTGTGGAGGCAGCGCTGTCACCGGCTGTGGCCTGCGTTCTGAGCCCCAGAGTGCACACCCACTGCCTCCCCACAGCGGCCCTGGGACTCCAGCGCACACTTCCAGAGGGAACTCTCCACGAGCCGCAACCCACCCCCTCCAATCACGTCCACGCTCCTGCACCACGCAGAACCCTCCAACGGTGCCCACTGCTCCTGAGATAAAGCCCAGACCCCTGTCCTTCGTGCCCTGCCTGCCTCCCAGCCTCGCCCGCAGGTCTGGTCTCCCCACCTGTCCCTGCTTCCTCCAACTACCATGTGGCCGCCAGCCTCAAGGTCTCTGCTCCCCATCCCAGTTACCACTGTGACTCGACCTTCTCAGTGCAGCTCAGAAGTCACCTCCTTGGGTAACTCTCTGACCCCTTCTGATCAGGTCAAAAACCCCATCACAGTCCTTCCAGCACCCCGGGGTCTCCTCCACAGTCCTCACCAGCTTTTACAGGGTGTGAGATCAGTGCCCGAGCCCCATCAGACCGTGAGTCCCACGGGGCCAGGCCTCACCCAGCACAGCACCACGCGCAGTCGGCACCCCATACACCTCTGATACATGCATGGCTCAGCCTACATGTAAAAGTCCCTGGGGCTTTCCTGAGTTCCATGAGTCATTCCAGCAAATTATTAAACCTGCGGGAATCACGAGAACCCCCAAATTTGCAGCCAATGGGCAACAAGACTCCAGCTCTGCAGGTTTCTCCTTGACATTCACAGAAAAAGCCACACCTCTGACATAAAGAGGGCTCCCCCCCCTTGCCCACCCAGACGTCAGGGAGCCTGCACCCTCCATGCCCGCCCTGCACGAAACAGACCACCTGAGCACGGGCACCTTACTTTCTTCTTGTTCTTCCAGCTCCTCCCCGGGGTAGCCAGGCAGGGGGGGCTCAAAGACCTCGGGGTACGAGGGCTCCCCTAAACTGTCATAGGAGTCTTCTTCTGGGTGTCCGGGAAGAGAAGATGACCATCATCGCCAGGAGCAGGGGGCGAGGAGGGAGAGAAAAGCTGGTCAGAGGGTCTCTGGGAACAAAGCTCCAGGAAGGGGTCCCCTGAGCACCACTGTCTGACCTCAGCCCACCCCCCTCAGTCCCCAACCAGCCATGCCCAGCGGGCATGAAGCAAAGGGGGCTGGGGCACAGGACCGACAGTCAATCAATCCCCAGGACACGTGTGTCCGGGAGGCCTGGTTTTCAGGTGGCACACGCTCTGCCCCTGCCCCTGCACACGCAGCTCCCCGAGAAGCCAGGCCGGGCAGAGATGGGTGCAGGTGAGGAGTGGCCCCCCAGTGAGGAGCGGCTGTCGGCCCCCAGATACTCACCCATCTCTGGGTCGTAGGGGAGCTGCAGGGCTCCCTGAGAGGAGGGGTCCAGCTTGGCCATCCCCACCGTCCACACCATGGCAGCTGCAGGAGGGAGAAAAGGTGACACTGCAGGCAGGACCTGGGGGAGGTGGCCAGTCTGTGTCCCCAGAAAGCCTGCATGGGGCCCTCTACCTTATGGGCATCTGTTTATGCTCTATTGTCACCGACCCTTGGCGGAGGGGTCCAGACTCACGGGCCAGGTGTGGGCAGACAATGCCTTTTCCTGTCCTTTTCTACTGTCCTCACAAATAATTGCAACAGTGATAACATCAATAACAGCAGCCAGGAGGAGTTTGGTAAATGGATCGTGTCGTTTTCAAAACTACTCTAGGTACCTCCTAAAAGCAGAATCATACTGTACTTGTCTTTCTGTGACTCGTTTCATTCAGTATCACAATGTCCTCAAGGTTCATCCACGCCGCAGCACATGTCAGAACTTCCTTCCTTTTCATGGCTGAGTAATATTCCACGGTGTGGATATACCACATTTTGTCTCTCCATTCACCCACTGATGGGCCCTTGGCTCTTGTGATTCATGCTGCTGTGAACATGGGTGTGCAAACATCTGTTTGAGTCCCTGCTTTCAATACCCTCTTGGGTATATGCCCACTAGAGAAGCCGCTGGATCACAGGGCACTAATTGAACTGTGCTTTCCCTCTCTGCCTGCACCAGCTCTGCACCTGATCGTCCACTGAGCGGCTTAAACTGAATATGCCCCAAACACACACTCAACAAGCCCCCCGCAGTCTTCTCCCTCTTCGTAACTGGCAACTCCATCCTTTTGGTTGCTCAGGCCCAAAGCACTGATGTCATCCTTGACTCCGTCTCACAACCCACGCCCTAGCCATCAACACATCCTGCCAGTTCCTCCCAAATATCTCCAGAATGCAACCACATCTCAGCGTGTCTACTGCTGCCCCTGGGTCCAGAGCCCCATCCTCTCTCTCCCGGGTTGTCATTCAGTCTCCAAACCCGGCCCCTGTTTCTGCTCGTGTCTCCCACACATCTTGTTCTCCACTCAGCAACCTGTTAAACTGTGAAGTCAGGTCAGCCCGAAATCTTCTAGCAGCTTCACGTCTCACTCAGGAGTCAGAGCCAAAGCTCTCGCTCTGGCCTGCAGGGCTTGATGTGATCTGGACTGTCCCCCGCTCTCCTCTGCTCCAGCCACACTGGCCTCTGGGTGTTTTCTGAACATGCCAGGCCCACAGCCACCTCAGGGCCTTTGCACGTGTTCCTTCTGCCTGGAACGATGGCTCCTGATTTTCATATGGTGCCCTCCCTCCCCTAAGTCAGATGGTCAAATGTCACTTTATCACAGAGGGCTTTCCTGACCACCTTCTGCCTTCTGCAAAACAGCATCCCCCCATGACTCTGAGGTCCCAGTCCCTGGCCCTGCCTTATGCACTCTACCTCCTGACTTACCTATTTGCCTATTTTGTTAGTTTCTCAGCCCTCCTAAAATGCAAACAAGGACCTCACCTGTTCACAGGTGAATCCCAGAGCCTCGGGGCACCCCCCCAGTCCTAGCACTGACTCAGTCTCTCCCCGTGCGGGGGGTCTCTGCTCACCCTCGGGATGTGCCTGGACTGCGCTTTCATGCCGTGGTGCCACACCGCTGGCGACTCTCCCCTACAAACTTGATTCCTCATTTGCACAGACATTACCCAGCACTCGGGAGCTGCTCCACACATTTCCCAGGGCGCCCTGCAGACACCAGAGCCCTGGAAATTCAGGCTCTTTACTTAAATAAGCATCGCCATCAACACACAGGAGGGTGTCACGACCACAGGGCTGCGAGCTCCACGAGGCCTGGGCCGTGTGTTATTTCCTTTTGGACCCCGATGCCTAGCACAGTGCCTGCCATAAAGTGGGGACATGACACACGTTTGCTCAATCCACGTATGAATCCAAATCCCTCTGATCCTGAGGCCACGGGCAATCCCGCATGCCTTCCCTTCAGATATGACTCATTTCAATCAGCCGTGCTGCTGTCAAGGCAGCCTAGTGAAAAACAGGAGCACAGCTCCCCTGGACCCCTGTCCTGAAAAGTCCCTCTGCAGAGTTCCCTCTCAGGAGCCTGGAGAGCGGAGGGGGTGGCTACAGGGCTCCAAAGGCTACGGGCTCATTGGTACTGGAGTACGGGTGGGATAAAGTCACGGGGCCGCACCACGACCCCCAGGTCACCCCTTCCCACCCTAACTTTCCAACTGTCTTCCCACATAATAGCAAGACACAGCCTGCCATGGTCTCCTGAAGGCGAACACCCTCCTGGGATCACCAAGGTCGCTCTCTTCTTTGGTCAGGGAAAGGGACGCATCCTCTAGTCAGCTGTGAAGGCCACGGCCAGGAAGCAGTCCCTCGTCCCCTGCAGGCCGCCTGCTGACCCCACGATCAGGCACAGGCACAGGGGCCCACTCACAGGAGTATATCAGGGCAGGAAATATGGGCTCGTTTCTCTCCTGGGCAGTTTCCACCAGCATTCTCAGTGGCCCTTTGGGACACAGCACGGCCACAAGATCTGCAAAAACAGAGACATCCTTGTCATGTCCAAAAAGACATTGATTCCCAAGCAGCCCCCAGAGACAGGAGCCTTTGAACACCAGGATCCCCAGGGTCGGGCTGAGAACATGCCTGGCCACGGGGCGAGCATCCCCAAATCACCAGCTTCCAGTCACCACTGAGAGTCACCACTGGAGCCCAGTGGGGGCCTGACACAGTAACTGCAGAGGACGAGGAGCTGGGTGCCTGACACCCCAACACCGGCGACGGTGACCACGCTGGCAGTAATTACATAGCAGTAACATTTTGCGTTATTGATAGGCACCATGCCCAATGCACTCGGGGTTGTTCTTGGGAACAAACACCATATTGGGTCTAGTGCTTAACAGTGAGCGTGCTCGATAACCATGACCAGAACAACAGAAAATGAGGAGTTTGGTGATTCCTGGGCTTTATTTCTAGAACAATGAGTCTACGGGAGCCCCCTACGTAGCCTGTCATTAGAGAGGCCCCCCAGGCTCCCTCAGGAAGGGAGATGAGCCTCTCAGCACCTGCCTTCCCTGTGCAGCACCGAGAGCGACCCGGCCCTGGACGTGGCCCCCGCCCGCTGCCAGGCCCACCTACCGTACACGGAGATGGCGCCCAGGATGACCCAGGCAGACCACTCCGGGAGGTACTTGATGAACACAAGGGCCATGAGCGCACTGATCATGATGAGGTAGGCCTGCTGCAGCACCAGCGGCCCCTTCCAGTGGATGCACACCATGCCCACCGCCCCGAAGTTCCAGACGGTCAGCAGGAGGGTGGGGTAGTCCATGGCCACGTTGTAGGTCTTGAGCACTTCCCTGCAGGACCAAGATGGAGCCCATGGGGTGGGAGGCTCGGTGGAGATGTGACACCCGACACGGTTGAACACCTTCTGCTCCCCAGCCATTTAAGTCCCAACCCGGGTTTTTCCAACCTGGCTTTATTGACTAATACTCCCAACCGCCATTTCTACTGCCCTACAACTGACCGCTTGAAATGTTTGCTGGAACATGGTGGGGAATTAAGCTTGTGACTTATGCTTGGGACAGGTCACATGGGCATGCGCTGGCACGACCCAGAAGACCCTCTACACATGGAGGAAATGTTTTTTCCTATCCCTCCAGTCTCTCTGGACTGATATCCCAAAGCAAGGGGCGAGAAACCAAAGATGATCTTCCTCATAAACTAGGAAGTGCCCAGGCCTAGCCCAAACATTGGAATGCAAATTTTAAGGGGTTTCCATCCCTCTTGGGGTTCACAGAGAGCCTCCTCCACAACGGCTCTGTTTTAAATCAGAAACCAGGAGAACCGGCTCACCATGGAGGCTCCCCTTCCCCCACCCAGGTCCTTATACCCTTGTGTTTGGGGACCTGCTCCTCAGCTGCCACTCACCCGAGGTAGATGTAAGTGAACAGGAAAAGAAGCATGAGGGAGGACATGATCAACCAGCCATGGATGAACTAGACGGAGAAACAGGACAGTCACCAAGTGTCCTGAGCTCCTTGAACCGCACCACCTCCAGGTTCCCAGGACTGATGCCCAAGCCTGAAGGTGCTTCTTATATAGGCTACCTCGTGACGACGCTGGACGGTATCAGGTGGTCACCTTGCAGTTAAGGAGGGCACAGAACCTCAAGGGTTCTCTCCAGGTCACCCCACAACCGCATGGGGATGACGCTGCTTTGGGTCTGAGGCCAGCTGTTCTCTCCCCACCTCTCTGCTTGTCCCTGTGGGCTGCCTCCCACCTGCCAGGAACCGTTCTAGCTCTGGAGATAGAGCTGGCAGTGTCTGTGCCCAGCTGTGGCATGCCAGCGTGAGGGGAGGCAGACGACATCGAAACACATGTACAGTGTATTAGTAGGTAGTGATAAGGGCTATGGGGAAAAAAATATTGGCAGGATAAAGTGACAGGAGACTCCCTGGTTTTAGATATAGCGGTGAGGACAGGCCTCTCGAGGGGGCTGTTTTTGGATAGAGACAACCCAGGAAGTCCCCTCCCATGCAACAGTCTACAAACAGGTCTTCAGAAAGACCTGTCCTCCTCTCCTGGTCAAGCGTGAGGGTCAACAAGACTAGGCTGATCTTAAATGTGTCCCTTAGCCAGCCATCAGTAGTACGGTGGTGTCACTTCCTGTCCAGCAGCCTCACCCCTGTGGACAGACCCATGAGTCACCAGCGCAGTCCACTGGGACTTCAGCAGAGACCTGGCCTACCTGGAGTGAAAGCAGCTGTCAGGACTGTGCCACATACACAGCCAAATGGGGAACAGGTCCCCTCTGAAACGTGCTAACCCTCTTCATCCCAACCACCACCTGCCCAGGCCACTGTCATCTCTGCTTGAGTGTCATGGAACCTCCAAGCAAGCCTCGCTGTACGGAAGGCTGAGCCGCCTCTCCATGGTCTCTGCGACTGGCCGCCTGACACCCACTGACCACAGCAGTGCCAGCTTTCCATGCTCCCTGGGCTATTTCTAGTTTGTTTTTGTGTGCACTGTATCCTCTGCTCCAGACAAGATGCCCCAGCCAGCTGGCCACCATCCACCCACGTCCCCCTTCAATTCTGCCTCATTTATGCAAGTAAGTGTTATTTATTGATCAGCTTCAGTGCAGGGACAGCTCCTGACAGCCCCCACCACCAGCTGGGACGGGGCCCGGCCCCCTGCTATACCAACCTGTATATCCTCCAGACTGAGCACCCCACATCTCTACCTGCTCCCTAAATGGCAGCTGTCTGAATAAAAAGTGTTGTGCCCACGTGTGAACAGCTTTAAGTTAGGTAATGCCTAGTCAGACTTCCTTTCAGTCTTTAGGGTTTCAAAGCCTCCCTTAGGAGAAAAGCCTGAAACCAATGTCTAAAAGCTTATGCATCTCCAGGGACAGACAATGCCCAGGATTTGTCCAGGTGGGACTCAGCTCCACTAGTAGCCCCTGGGGCCGCCTGGCAGCTGCAGGTGTGTCCAACCCAAACATCTCCCAGCGCTGGAAGACCTCAGCTCAGAATCTGTACATCCCTACCCAGAGGGGAAATGGAAAAACAAAAATAAATCTGGAGGGAAGTACGGGGTAAAGGAGCCTAAAATAGAAGTTCAGACGGAGAAGCAAAATACAATTAACCTCTGAATACGAGAAGTGACGCCTGATACACTCGCAGGAGGACGCCATTAAGTGGGATCACATGTAAGTGTCAAAGGCAACAGCATTGCGTAACCCATGGTGGGGTGGGAAAGTACCAAAAATCAGTCTGTTTTGCAGAAAAAAGGAATTCTGAGAGTTGAAAGGTCGCTGCATGCTGGGACCCCGTCGGCGCTGTGGCGGGGCAGGCAGGAGGCGGTGGGGACGTGGCGGGCCTCACCTTGTAGCAGCGGTACTTGTACAGGACCACCAGGAAGATGGTCATAACCACGATGACGCTGATCATGATGAGGGTGTTCAACACGGAGTTGAGCAGGCGCTGGCCCACCGAGGGTGTGTCCTCTGTGAACGGCGTGTAGATGCTGGGGGGGGGGCCGGGGGGCCC